ATGACATCATAGGTGTGAACTTGAATATTTGATGAGACAGAAGGGGTTTTGTGCACATCGACTATATTTGCTGAAACTTTAAATTTCGATGAAGAAAACGATGTAGAAAAACGGGAAGAACTTTTCAGTTGTCCGCCTCGTTGTCCACGGAATCGACATAGTATTCTGACGGTTTTTAACGCTTCGAAGACTGACGAAGAAAGAGGTTTTAAAAAAGTTCCCTCCCTGTTACGCGTGAGGTGACTTCCACATCGCACGGGAAAAGCGCAACGATAGGAGAAAATTTCTTGAATATAGTGACATCAATCAAATTTCCAGGCTCTTACGAGAATCTGAAAGGTCTTGGAATTGAAAATGACAGCTAGAGCAGTAATAAAACAAAATTTAAAGGACCTAAGAAACTAAGCAGCTGGTCATTCAACCGGCGCATCTTGCCACCACAATTAGAAGGTGAGCACAAAAATTGTGGTATTACGTGTCACCTTTATGAAGCAAAAAGAGTTGACAGGAAATAAAAACTAAATGATTTTGTGGAAGGAACCATTATAATTGACGCACACTGTGAGTGATTTGCTGAAAGCATGGATAGAGAATATGGCTATGTTGGGGGAGATTGGAAGCCATTATGAGGACTGATAGGTGAACCTGTTACCTCAGCTGGTCAGGGTACTTTTACATTATAAGGGAATTTCAAAAAAACTATGGCTGCGGCAACCATGACATAGTATGAATTTGAAAGTGACATTCGCAGTAATGAACACTACTTAAGCAACAGTGAAAATAACGCCAGAAAAAAGTTCAGGCCTGTACGGGATTTGAACCAATCCATATGCATTTCTATCTCCGCAGTTCGCATATATGATTTTTATATATTTACAGTCATTTATTCATCACTTCACGGGTTTATTTGGAACCAACATAATGACTAGCTCCCAGTTGGCTTGTTAGCTAGGTTGGTAGAGCGCTGCAACGTATCGCAGAGGTCATGGGTTCAAATCTTGTACAGCTCTGAATTTTTTTCAGGCCTTATTTTCATTATTGTTACTTAGTGTTTTTTTACTACGAAGATCGCTTCCATATTCCGGAGGAATTTGAATTCACAGCTTATTTTCCAGTAGAAGAAATGAACTTACCTCGTAGGTTTTTTGGTTTTTAAGTGCTATGCTGTTGATGTCAATAAGTATATGTACTAAAACAGTGGACAGCATTGAAGGCGCGCTCTGATTTGCTAATCCGCAAACTCCGAATGTCCTTTGCTATCCACCTCTAAGCAACTCGTGCTTGAAAATATTGTAATTGCTACCGAAATAAATGAGTTAAAATCATCTTTTTGTGCTGTATTATCTCGCTGTTTTAGTATTTTTATGCATAATACCTGTAAAGATAAATATCTAGAAATTTCTAGAATGCTTAGTCATGCTGATATGCAAAACATGGAACCAAGGCTAGAACCTTTTCACATAGTCATGATTTAATACTAATAAAAAAGTCGCGCTGTAAGCTTTCGGAATGTTCTATATTTTTTTCAAATATATATAGGGACTCATTCGTCTATAGCTAGTACTGAGAGTTGTTGCTGTCGGGAGTGACAGACTTTTTGGAAAGCTATACCAAGAGAGAGCTACTGCGCAGGATTGTTCATTTTTAGGGAGCTTTATAGAAAACTGTGGATTTGTGTCTGTGGAGAGCTGAGTCATAGTTTGTAGGGGGTTTTAGTGAGTTTATTGAGGATAATTACTGTATTGTTTATTGGAGTCGCTTCTAAGTAAGAATATTACTCATCTTTTAATAAAGTAGTTGAGTCTCTGGGGGTAAGGTGTTCTTTCAGTCGGTTAGATTCTACCAACAGTATACATTAAAACTACTATTCACCTCAGTGTCGGTGGCTTGTGGTGGATATTCACCTTGAAGCTTCACGGCTCAGTAAATATCCACCATTAGTAACCTCCATGTCGGTGGAGTTTTATTACTAGGACGCAAAAATGAATACACATCCTTACGTTACGTTTCTGCTACATTTAGCACTGCGAGCATTGAACTCATTCTCTTCTTTTCCCTACATTCTCAGAGCAACGAGTACCCTTTGTGACACTATCGGTACAATAAAATCTTGTATGGGTGACAGGCTGTAAACATTTCCATTTTAGTCGTAAAATGTTGCGTTTTCTGCACAAGCAAGTGCGCTGACGATGTGAATTTCCAAAGCTTTCTTATTGTATTGAAAGGAAACTGAAAAATTCAACGATTTTGATATTGCTAGCAAATCGTCACACACGTTTCAGAAAATTTGGGAAAAGTTAATGATTTTTATTTCTTAGTATCGTATATAGCTTTTACTAACATAAACACGTGTAGTGTTAGGTCACAAATACATAAATCTCCAGTTATGCTGCTGTTTTATTCTATTTCTAAGTCTTATTCGTTTATTTGAATTTTTTGGTTAGCGGTGTTGCCATTGTAAGGTTTTCAAAATTTTAAATTTGACACATCGGGTAAAATAGATGTTTGTGAAAATAATGTATGTAAATCAGTAAGTGTTAATAAGCAAGCTATGCTTTTAAGTTAGGTATTAATGTCAAGTTGGTAGTATAAGTTTGGCCTGTTTATTGAGTAATCCTCATTATTTAGGTAGTGTTAGCATTGTAAGTTATGTTAGTGATGTAAATGTCTTTATTACAAAAATTACATTTCCCTCGATTGTGATTGGTTGAGAAAATTAATATTTTCCACTAATTCACTTGTAAATTGTTATCGGACAGTTTGTTATCGGACAGTTCAACAAGCCAATCACTTTCAAAGGTGTAGTTTAGATCAACCAGTCACAACCATTAATTAATTTACGCCTCCTTTGTCAATCTTTTAAACCAAATTTTTCCTTTCTTTGATAACTTGGTTATTCTCCTTTTCTCGGAAATTATAATGTTTTTGATTAATGGATAATAAAACTTTGTGTCGTCCAACTCAGTCTGTAATCATACTCGTGATAAAAAATGGGACTTCCGCTGCGTAATCGTTCGATTTTGTTATCACTCGTATGATTACAAACTGAATAGGGCTCCTCTCTGTCCCTTTATCATTATTAATTTTGTACAAATGAAGAAAAAAAGGATGCAGTCACCATTTTTATAGAATTAAAGGTGGTACTGAAATGTTTGTAACACTTTTACCTCGATGAGTCTTCCACTACATTTAGTTTTGTCTTTCAGACAAGTTTTGTCTGAAAACTGTTATAATAAAGAGAAATAACGCATTTCACTTGTTTAAATTGTGGTTTTTTGACCCATTCAATGCTGAAATACAGCCTGAACTTACATAAACAGGGCCTTCACAATTAAAAGTATGTGGTATGTGTTTAATGTTTTATCCAGATAAAGTCTAAATAAATTATTTGAGCCATAGATTAAATTAGTTTTTGTATTCTTTAACATAGCATTTGTATTCTTTAACAAAGCGAAATGTTGTCGTGAAATGAAATGCATGCTCGAAATGAGCATGCAAGCCAAGTTCCAGCGTTCGTTGAAATCCCCGTGGGTCTTAAAAATTATGCCTCAAAATACTCCAACCGCATACGAAGAATTGAAGATATACGCATGTGAGGTGTTATTTTAATGTACATGTCAACTGGCCGGTTGCATTTTTTCCTCACGTAAAACAGAGGGAATCTCGCTCAAGTTTAGATTTGTCCGCTACGATCTTTATTCACGTAAGCTACAGTATTCGACATCCCAGCATTCCTTTGGAAAACTGTTTGAAACATTTAACTTATAGGAGAGGGGTTAGGATAGCAGAAAAAACCCAAATACATAGAATCGAAAAACGAGACTTTCCATACATGTGATGACTCATACTTTTCATGCTATAAAAATACTTAGAAAATGTATTCTGTTGAATTCAAAATGTTTTTAAGGTGCGACTGAACCTCTCCCTACGAACATCTTTGTGATACGGGTATCTCGCTAATTCCTTACGGAGAGCAAATGAAATACATGTATGTTTTGTTAGAAAAAATCGGTTTTATACGGATCCTCTAAATCTCAGACATTTATGTTGTCTTCACATTTATCTGACATTCATGTGATAAGAAGCGCATACCTGTTCATGTTTCTACAGACGCTTCAATCTGAGTGACTTTACCGTAATGAACGCAATGGACAAATCTCTTATTTGGAAATTTTGCTTTGTCCATTGGGTTTTTGTATTACAGTGTTTCGACTGCTGTTTTTCGGCGCAGTAATTATAACAGTTGGGGTCTTTAACTAGCTCGAAAATGAAAAGAAGGAACAAGTAGTTATTAAACCTTTGTTTAATTTTTTTTTCTAATTTTTTTATGTGATGTCGTGACTTTTTCCCAGATTTCAAAGCTAACAATCTGTTTAAACAGAAAAATAAGATTCTATCAGCAGTTTCACGTTGGAACTGTAATAGCCTAAGTCAGTAAAAACTATTTTCTCGCTAAAGGTCTTAACAAAGCAGAATCATCTCGCCAGAGGCACCAACAGTGAATGATTGCTGTTCAGGGACATTTTTATGTGCTTGAATGTGTAGCACATACGATGCCAAAAGTACAGTCTTTTATTTCCTTTTAAATTCTGGATAAAAACACATATGACCATGGAATATATATGCCGAGGTCTTCGCGTCTTCTTTCGTGAACGTTTCGGTCATGTCGATCATGTTTTTTTAACGCAAATTAGCTTAAGTTCATTTTCAGTGCAGGCAAATAACCACATATGACCATGTACGTTAAAAAGTGGCTCAGGCGAAAGTCTAAAGAGAAATATGACTTCGCCGGGCTGGCAAACACGATAATAACATACAGCATTGAACTAATGGTTTATGCAATGTGTTGTAGTCTGCATCAGCATAAATAGTGGTAAATTGGAGTATATCACGAGTACTCATTTTGAAGTTAGTGCACATAGCAAAGCAAGAGAATCAGCTTAAATTTTAGAAGAACAAAATACAACAAATCACGCCCACTGAGTTTTTCACCTGCAACTTTTTTCCCATTTACCTGCTTCTTGCCTAGTCTGTGCCACAGTAGCGATAATTACAAGCCGGAAGTGGAACTAGTTTGTAGATAAAGTAGGATCCACAGTTTTTCATTACGATTGTAATTGAATGCTTGCAAGTGTCAGCACCTCTGGTGAAACAGACCGTCCTAAACACTTCACCATCTCCCACTGTAGGTTCAGCACCATTCAACCAACCTGAGAAGACTGTATTACAGTGATAATCATCCACTGACGTTGTTGGCATTTTTGTCCCTGCGGCTCCCTCAAAACGATACCATCCCTCAGATAGCCAGTTGTCACACACACCTTCACTATATCTGGGTGTTTCGTAAGTACTCTTTCTCTTAGCGTCCCTCAGAGTTGAGTAGTTATAACAACCGTTAGCTGGAAAGTAAATAGTAATTTAAAGAGGAAATGCTAATCACAATTTTTTGACTTTGATTGCAAGAACTCATCATCATTTATCGTTAGGATTGTTATGCATTATTACCACCCTTTCTAATATAAAAAGGGACTTGACACATTATAGCGACGATGTTGTGTAAAACATACGGAAATTTTTTAACCAGCTCGGCATTGACTTTCCAATTACATTACCTTCTTTCTCGAAAGAATAGATTCACTATAGGGCGAGTGCCAGTCCTCTAAATTAATTTTTACAACGAGAATCCCGTCACCCTTGCACTGAAGGCACACCCGAATCGAAAATGAGTTTTGGCGATGACCCATATGTAGATTAGGGCGCCTAAACGAGGGCGAAATGGGGAAATCATCAGTCAGCTCAGATAAAGTTGACTTGAAAAATTATCAAAAGTGGAAGTAAGTTGTGCATTTAAGTGTCTCTCGTTTAATGCGGGGTGGTCAGAAAAAGCGGCTTGTTTGATCTGTTTTCTTGCTTAAATTGAACAGCTAAGGGTTCACCTCAAAAAAGCTTAAATAAGCTAAAATGAAATAACTTTTCAACGGCAAATTATACATTTGAGTGCCTCTCACTTTTTGTAGTTTTTGCTAATATTGGCGCTAGAAGTAGCTCAGGAGTAACAAATATCGCCGATCAAATTAAGGTTCAGATTGCAGAAAATTAATCTTTTTGTCGGAAAACATGCCCTCGTCAGTTATTTCCGTTACTGTTCTCACCACAGAATGAAAATGAAACTGAATTCCGATTTTTACGTTTTAATGTTAATAAAGAATTACAAGCAGTTGGAAAATAAACAGACGAACAAAATGAACGTGCAGATAATCAGACAGACAAAAAGACAGACACACAGACAGTCTAATGATAGGGATTATGACAGAGAGAGAGCATTGGACTACAAAGAGAGGGGGAGAAAAAGGGGAAAAGGGGGAGACAGAGGGAGAGGGAGAAACACACTGAAGAATAGTAAGAAGGATTCCTTTATTTTTAACAGTCATTTAAACCATAAATTAAATGCCACATGCACTTGCATGTAAAAGCTGAATAATAGGGCTCATAGCCCTGCTCGTGTTGCGGCAGGAATGAGGCGCGGCCTGCATGTAGAATGGCTGATGGATAATGTACTTTTTACTTGGTGATTATCAGTTAACACCCACCTGTGCACGTCAGGCCATCTCCTATGAATCCTTCTTTACATTTGCAGTCGTATGATCCACGGGTATTTATACATTCAGCATTTGAATCACATTTGTTTTCTCCTAGATTACACTCATCAACGTCTTAAAGAAAGGATCATGTAGAAATTCAATTACAGAGATTTCGAGACCACAGACTTCTAATAAAGCACAGACACAATGAGTTAGGATCTGCATATCTTTAATTTATTAGGGACTTAAAGAAAACCTTGACGACGACAGTAAAGAAAACGTAGCGAAACAAAAGATCTAATGAGCAAAGCAACTATGCAACCTTACTTAGCCACCTCATACAGAAAAAAATCGTGAAATCACCAACTTTAACGTCCTCTTAGCAACTACGTCACTTTTTATTTTGAACTTAATGAAAGAAGTCGCACCGTCAGGAACGGTAAACGCGTCGAGCTACTGGCAGGGTTGCATTGCAGAGAGGGTTCATCGCGTTCTCCATTGCTAGAAGCGGCAATGAGGATATCCTCCTCCGGATAAACGCCTTTCGACCTATCGTTACCTACCCCCCCCCCCCCGCCTCCCCTCCTACTTCCCCCAATACTTCCTTCCCTAGTTTTCTCTCATAGTTCACCGCTGCTCTTTCTTCATCCAAAAAATAAAAAAAAGTGCATGAGGAGAGTACTAAAGAATTTATTTAAAACAACGGTCACCGACTTTCCTAATCGTTAAGTGACTGCTAATACTTAGATATTGAACACGTATATCTGCCTCACCTTCTGTGCAATCTTCACCTGTGTAACCCGGTACGCAGACACATCTATACCCCTCACTGGAAAAACCGGCCTGGCAGATCGCATTTCTCGGGCATGGCTTCTTTTTGCAAGCGTTCTTTACAAAGAAGCAAAAAAGGACAAGTCAAGGCTTATCTACGCAATTACAAGGCGGGGAGGGAAGGGTAAGGAGGTACATTGACATAGTCATTCTGAGGACGGATGAATGAAACAACGAGAGCGGTTTAAAATGATCATCAAGTGTTGGCAATACTTCCAGGAAACTTTAACATTGCATGCTTTTTTGACAATAAAATAAATTAAATATACATGTTCTTGCTTTGTGAACAAATCGTTCACAAGTGATTAAAAGCTAATAAAGGAAAGGCAAATAATTGAAATAAATTCGTAGATTAGCAATTGAAATTACAGCAGCTCAAGACTTGTGTTTTTTTCATCCGGTGCTCAAACTGCGTTTACTATTACCATACTCTCCATATTCAAAGGGCAATCGAATTCAATAAAGGTTGCAATTGACTCATGCTTATAATTGTATCTTTGACGTTCGGTAAATATCGAAACTTCGGTGAGATAACGATAAGCGTTATTTTGTAAGCTACGTCTCAGAACCAATTGCGTTAATTGCAAAAAATAATAATTGAAAGCACTTAACCTAACTGTCGTGTATGCCAACTGGGTGCTGGTCATTATGTTGGTTCCAAATAAACCCGTGAAGGGAAGAATAAATAACTGTAAATTTATAAAAATGATATCTATGAATTGCCACATGGCTTGTTAGCTCAGTGGATAGCGCGCTGCACCAATATCGCAAAGGTCATGGGTTCAAATCCCGTACGAGCCTGAATTTTTTTCAGGTCTTATTTTCACTACAGTTTAAGTAGTGTTCATTAATGCGAAGATCGTTTTCAAATTTTTTTCTTTAACTGCAGTTCACATATATGGTTTTATATATTTACAGTCAAAATTAAAAAGATGTGAATAAACCAGTAAAAAAATGAATTGTAACAAAGACATACGGATAGGCCAAAAGAAGACCTCTATTATCCTAATTATTGCAGCTATAAACACACCTTGGATCCACGATAGGTGCTGTTTGGAAATGAAACCAGATCACTCGGATGTTCAAAATGTGTAGAATTATTCATCTCGCATTTGGTGATCGAGGGAGAATTATTGGATACTAATATATTATAGCTCACACAGTTGAGTTCCATAAAACACAATGCTCCACAGAAGTCCTTTGCGACGTTATCAACTTCTTTAATCTCGTGGTTAAGCAGACGTTTTCCTCTAAATGCAAGGGCAGCACTGAACCCCAGTTGGCGACATTGGTCTATAGAAAAGAATTATATTTTCCGATAGGAAGAACATAATACCACTGGTTGCAAGGGAATGCTCCATTTGACAAAGACACCGGATTTAGTGGTAGAGGTAAATAATAGGGAAGGGATGGAGGTAGAGAAATTGATAAAGGAAACTGCAGGCAACGTCATGCAAAAAGTGTGTGAATTTAAATCAACGAAAAAACCAGAACATGAGGTTTCGATTATATCCTGTTATCATTGTCGAAATTGAAAGGGATTGGCACAATTGATGTACTATATGTAAATATGAAAAGAAATGCTAAGGTACATATATGATTTCTTCAATGAAAACAAAGCCTAAAAGTGTGCTTTGTATTCATACAAGTAATTTCACCCGAATGGAGTCTGGGTAAGTGTTATAAAAAAATAACTTTATTAATAATGTACATGAAAAAAGTTACGCGCTTTTGATTGGCTGAAAACGAGTGCATTCTCATGTAACGCGAATGCAAAGTCATAACGCAGGTGCATAGTTGTAACACGAGCGCAAAATACAAATAGTTCGCGCACGCTTTTAAAATTTCGTCTGTCTTGACCTTCTGCAGTGTTTTTTCATGTACATTATAACAAGTAATAACATGATTCCCCCTGCAATTTGTTGTAATAAGTACTTGTAAATTTTTCAGACTACAAATTGCACTTGCCCTACGGGCTCGTGCAATTTTGTTGTCTTTGAAAAATATACTCGTGCTTATTTACACCAAATTGCACTCGAAATCGTGTCGTTGCCTAAACTTAACGAGGGTGGATGGCCCTCCCTAGACTTTATGGTCTTACATGAATTGATAAAGTTAACCGAGAATCAATCAAAACTACAAGCCATGACTGAATACTATGATATTGAGTAATGTTCTATAAAGTTTATGTCTGGTCTTTTTTTTTTTATAAGGAGGATCTGGAATATAAGATAATCGAGCTTTCTTGGGCACTTCTTTAAAATTGCGAAATTCTCACGAAGGCTTGCTGTTCTTACATTGTGTTATATGTACCACCATGCAGTGTGTTGTTTTTGAAGTGGCTGCAGGTGTAACCTGTATGGTTTCCCAGGAGGCTTAAAGGTTTCTGGTTTGTCTTTTCAAATAAATATCGAAACTTATCCCATTGAAACAGTTTATTGATATGTTTAGGGGGAGAAATTTATAAGTTTGTTATTTTCTGGCTTCTTTTGTTTTTGTTTTTATTTTCAGAGACTTGAACAAGCAGGATTGTGACAGATGTTGCCCTGAAAAACATTTGTCCCATTATATAATTTTCACGTACGTTCTTAAAGAGTCGCCTTTTGTATCTCAGAGATGAGTTATGGGATAATTTAAGCTCGCGTTTTCAACTACTTCGCAGAAGTCACCAAACTTTTGACATGGGACTGATTTTGACATCTCAAACTTTACCTATTGCTATGGTTTAAATTTTTTAAGACAATGATCCTTTTGTTGTCTGGCCTTAGGGATTTTTTTGTCCGGTTTCGCGAAATTATACTCGAGTCAAATCAGATTCAGTCGGCAAATTGTCACTGATTACATTTTTTCCCAACGGTAGCCTACTTTGGAAACCAAAGACAAACCAACAGGGGGTGAGTCAGTAAATTTCAAGAGTACGCCAACTGCTTTGACTAAACTTTTGTCTTACCGCGCGCGTATGTTTCGGCCTTACTCAGCCTAACTGTACTGTACTTTTATTTTAGTCGTCAAGTAAAATAATTAACACTTAGAATACAGCTTGTTGTATTATATCTGTGTAAGTTTATGTTTTAGCTCATGTTTTAGCAAGCAAGCGGCGGTGAGTAGCTGGAAGCGATGAGAACGGGCGGCTGCTATGCATTATCTCAGTTTAATACGCCTTATGCGTTATGCTTCTTTGAAAATGACTTCTGTTTAAATTTACTTCGTGCATGGCTTAATAATTATTTGACCAATTGCGCCTGGATCTACGTTGATCGGCAAGAAGACTATTTTGTCTTTTGCACCTTTTACGTTTAAATGATTTCGCTTTTGGCTAATTGTTCCACTGCTAACAGAAGAAAAGAAAAGAAAAGAAAAAAAAAAGGAATGAAGACAGCGCTCGATGTCGAGAGTGCGTGAAAAGGCGGGTTTGCTTAGACTATTGTCAGGCCTCGCGTTTTTGTTTTTTTGGTCTATTGAAGCAAGTAAACATCGCCGTTGAAGGCAAAACAAAAGGTGCGATTTTTTTTGCACCTTTTTCCATTTCAGTGATTTTTTATTCTTAGCCAAAAATTCTCAAACAAAATCTTCATAGTCGCATTAGGTGAGTGAAAAAAAAAGTTTGATATGATTAAGACATAAGTGTATTTTTTTTTTTTTAAATAATCGAGGGTGATTTTTCAGTTCTGTACCTGTCAAAGGGGAAAAGATGCAAATTTTGTTGAAGAATTGGCATTTCAAAACACGAAAAGGTAGTATCGAGACGAACAATTCAGGATCTAATATCTGGGATGTAGATTGGAGAAAAATTTAGTGGGCAGCTTTCATTAAAGGCCCAGTGTTTTTTCAAGTTCATTATGTCAGTGTAGAATACGGATAATGATGATAAAAAGATGAGACAAAACTAAATTCGGCTATTTCTTTCGAGATGATTGTGTTCCTTTAGAATAACTAAAGGATAACTGAAGGATATTCCGTTGTTTAATTGAAACTAATTCCTTACCCGTTAATTTGAAGCCATAAAACTTTTAAATTTCTTTCAGAAGGAGCTATCTCTAAATTTAGATTTAGGTGTATTGGACGAAAGTTCACGCGTAAAAAGGTTGTGTTGACATTTCGACTGTTTTTACAACTCTAAGTATTTGCTTCTAATGCTAGTCGATAATCGTTTTCAAAACGACAGTTAAAGGACTAATAAGACTTTCGGGGGAGGCTTTTGAAATTTTCTACATATTTATTTCGTTGTGTAAATATGCTGAGAGAAAAATGGATGATTAAGCTTCACTTGAGCTCACCAAATTTCATACTCATAATAATAGCGGCACGTAGGGAGTTAGAGAGTGCAACATGAATTTCTGCCGAATTTATACCCTAAACTTTATGATCCTTTTATCCCAACCGCCTGCTTAAAACAGCTTGCGTGAGGTAGATCCAACCTGTCTTTAAAGATTCACATCTCCTCATAATAGCTTTATAAACATTTTTACTCTCCTATGGGAAGGTAGAAAATTTTGACAACTTAAGAATTTTTGTAATAGTTACAATAGAGCATTCGAAACGAATAACTTTCGTTTATTCCCGCTTCAAACGCATTATAAATTAAAAAATAAAATAAAATAAAAATTTTCCCTGATATAAATTTAAAAAATATACCCACCTTCTTTGCATTTCACAACACACAAGAGAGAGCACAGCACAGTGAAGGTACCAAGAGACAAGATGCGAGGCATCTTGCCAAACTGCTCCTGCAAAATTACCAAAATGTAAAATCGTGCACTGCCTTACTAGAATGTAAGACTCTTCTCGCCTGGAACTACTGAAGTCTCTGTGTGATGTACTACGGAGACAAATTGACGTTAATGAGTTAGAGATCTATTTCCATCTGCGTAAATTAACTTTAAAGTAATTGTTATGGTAGACGTCGTAGGCCTTAATTTCACTACTGCTTAAGTAGTGTTCACTACTGCGAAGGTCGCTTCCATACTTATCTCTTTCACCGCAGTTCACATATATGATTTTCATGTATTTAGTCAATTATATATAGCCAGTATATATCAGTAAGCAAGCTGCTGTGGGTGTATATTGGTATTAATGTTAGAAGTTTTATTATAGTAGCTTTTCAATTGATCCTAATTATTCAAGTAGTGTCAGCGTTGCAAGAAGAGCTAGTATATAAATATAGGTAATCAAACGGTTTCGAGTGCAATTTTGAACAACTAAGCACGAGTAAATTTTTTCAAAAACTGACAAAATTGCACAAGCCCGTAGGGTGAGTGTAATTTGCGGTCAAAATTTACAGTTGCTTATTTTTTCCATATTGCACGAGAAAAATCATGTGACCACATGTTAATAATATACATGAAAAAATACGAGATAGCTTATCATAATTATGCAGAAGCAAAGCGCGCGCATCAAGTGCAAAAATAACTTATTCAAATCCTGCAAATAACATTGTGAGTTCGGTCAAAACAACCGCTCACGATCCGCCATCAGAAAAGCTCTGAATTGGTGGACAAATTCTCCATGTAAATACCATTGTAAATGTGTAAAGGTCAGTATAGAGAATATGCATACCGATCCAATGATGTAAACAGGTTTAAACGCTAGATTTAGGGTATTCAGAAAGCGTAAAATACAATCAGAATTGAATTAGTTATACTTGAATTACCATGTTAATGTAAAAACTACGAAAATCACCTTAATAGTCGAGGTTATCAGCATTCGGCTTCGGCAGATAACCCCTACTTCGACCTTGATTATTCTGGATATCTCAAAAACCTCATCAAATAATTGTTTATAATTCTATTCGGTATCGGTCGCTCTTAACCCTTTAATCCCTGAGAGTGATTGGCATATTATTTCTCCTTACAGTATCACTGTTAAATCAAGTATAAGGTCATGAGAATAAGAAAAATGGTCAGCAAACAGAGGAGCTCGAACTTGTCGAACAAATTCTCCACATCAGTACCATTGGAGATGTATAGAGATCAGTATGGAGAATATGTATCCCGATCTCAGGCTGTAAAGGGTTAATGCATGGGTCAATATTCGCCAAAACATAGTTATGTACTTTTCCAAACAAGTTATTGTAGTATCAAAACTTAAAAACGAGTTGAGTGACCACTAGATTTTATTGCTAAAAATGAGTTATATTTAAGTAGGGTACTTAAACAGCGCAGAGTTTAATCAGAATTGTATGTGTTACTTTAATTACCTTAAAACGTGTAAATGATGAAAATCCCCTTATCTCTGTACCTGTATATTTAATCCTCGCACTTTTTACATCCTTTCAGAAAGTTTATTTTTGTATAATAAATCTATAAGTTTTGTCTGAAAATTGTTATAGTATAAGAGAAATAACGCATTTCACTTCTTTAAATTGTGGTTTTTCGACCCGTTTAACTTAGGTCAACAGGGCTTTCAAAGTTAAAAGTATATGGTATGTGTTAAATGTTTTGCCCATATATAGTCTAAATAAATAATTTCAGCCATGGTTAAAATTAATTTTTGTATTCTTTAACATAGCTGAAAGCGAAATGTTATCGTGAATGAAGTGCAAGCTCGAAATGAGCATGCAAGCCAAGTTCCAGCGTTTGTTGAAATCCCTGTGGGTCTTAAAATTATGCCTCAAAGTACTCCAACCTTATACGAAGAATTGAAGATATACGCATGTGAGGTGTTATCTTAATGCACCCGTCAACTGGCCGGTTGCATTTTTTCCTCACGTAAAAGAGAGAGAATCTCGCTCAAGTTTAGATTTTTCCGCTACGATCTTTATTCACGTAGGCTGTAGTATTCGATATCCCAGCATTCCTTTGGAACACTGTTTAAAACGTTGTACTTACAGGAGGGGGGTCGGGATAGCAGAAAAAACCCAAATACATAAACTTGCCTTACATTTGATGAATCATACTTTTCATGCTATAAAAATAATCAGGAGAAAATGTTTACTTTTTGTTGAATTCAAAATTTTTGTAAGGTGTTGGTGAACCTCTCCCTACGAACACCTTTGTGATACGGGTACCTCGCTAATTCCTTACAGAGAGCAAGTCAAATCCATGTATATCTTGTTAGAAAAAAAAACTGTTTTATACGAATCCTCCAAATCTCAGACATTTATGTTGTCTCTAAATTTATCTGACATTCACGTGATAAGAAGAGTTTGCCTGTTTATGTTTCTATAGACGCTTCAATCTAAAAGGTGACTTTACCGTACTGAACGCAATGCCGGACAAATCTCTTGTTCGGAAATTTGGCTTTGATCATTGGGTTCTTTTATTACAGTGTTTCGACTGCTGTTTTTCGACGAATTATGACAGTTGGTGTCGTTAACTAGCTCGAAAATGAAAAGAAGGAACACGCAGTTATCGAATCTTTATTATTATTATTATTTTTTTTTTTTTGTGATGCCCTGACTTTTCCCCACATTTCAAACCTAACAATCTTGCAATGAGATTCTATCAGCAGTTTTCATGTTGTAACCGTAATAGCCTAAATCAGTGAAAATTGTTTTCTGGCAAAAGATCCTAACAAAGCAGAATTATCTCACCATTAAGAGGCACCATCAGTGAATGATTGTTGTTCAGGGACATTATTAAGTGCTCTTTTGTGTAGCACACACGACGCCAAAAGTAAAGTATTTTTCCTTCCTAAATACTATATGAAAACACTTATTTATACCAAAGCAATCCCAGTACAATCTCTTCTGACATTTTTGTCTAAACAAGTAATTTAAATGCCGAGGTCTCCGCGAGAGTCTTCTTTCGTGAACGATTCGGTCATGTCGATCATGTCTTTTTAACACAAATTAGCTAAAGTTCATTTTTAGTGCAGGCAAATAACCACATAAGACCATCTACGTTGAAAAGCGACTTAGGCAAGAGTTTAAAGAGAGATGTGACTACGGCCGGGCTGGTAAACATGATAATAACATACAACATTGAACTGATGATTTATGCAATGTGATGTAGTTTACCTCAACTTAAATAATGTTAAATTGGAGTCTATCACGAGTATTCATTTTGAAGTTACTGCACATAGCAACGCGACAGAACCAGTTTAAATTTTAGAAGACTTAGATACTACAAATTATGCCCACTGGTTTTTCATTTGCAGCTTTTTTCCTATTTATCTGCTTCATGTTTCGTCTGTGCTACAGTAGCGAGAATTGCAAGTCGGAGTTGGAACCAGTTTGTAGATAAAATAGGATCCACAGTTTTTCATCATGATTTGTTTGAAATGCGAGCAAGTGTCAGAACGTCTGGTGAAGCAGACCTTCCTATTTACTTCACCCTCTACCACTGTTGGTTCAGCATCTTTTAACCAGCCTGGGAAGGCTGTATTGCAGTGATAATCATCCACTGCCTTTGTTGGCATTTTTGTCCCAGCAGCTGCCTCAAAACGATACCATCTCTCAAGTAGCGAGTTATCACACACACCTTCACTTGATGGGGGTGTATCGTAAGTACTCTTTCTGTCAGCGTCGCTCAGAGTTGAGTAGTTAAAACATCCATCGGCTGGAAAGTAAATTGTAATTCAAAAAAGAAATGATAATCACATTTTTTTAAAATTTGACAATGATTGCAAGAACTCATCATCATTCATCGTCAGGATTATTTATGCATTATTACCACCCTTTTTTTAATATAAGCAGGCACATTACAGCGACGATGTTGTGTAAAACACACGGACAATTTTGACTTTTCATTGCATTGACTTTCCAATTACATTCTCTTCTTGAAAGAATACATTGAATATAGGTCGAGCACCAGTCCTCTAAACTATTTTTTAGAACGAGAATCCCGCCACCCTTGTATTGAAGGCGCACCAGAAAAAGAAGAAATTTGGGTGATGACCCATATGTAGATAAATGCGTTTAAATGTGGGCGAAACGGAGAAATTATCAGTCAGGTCAAATAAAGTTGGCTTGGAAAATTATCAAAGTGGAAGTAAATTGTGCATTTTAGCGTATCTCACGTTTAGTGCTCGGTGCTCGGCAGAAGCGGCTTGTTTGATCTGTTCTCTTGCCTAAATCGAACAATTCCCCTTTTCTTTTTTTCACTTTGGCGCCATCACTAAGCTAAATTTAAATTCTTCTCTTCCACAAATAATCTTTCACTCTCCAACGCCGATTTTCGAAAAATTTTCGAGAAATTTCCACTAGTACGGCTCTTTATTCTGTATATCGATGAGGGCGACTTCGCACTTTGTCTCGTTCTCATGCCGTAATTTCGGCGGCCTCTTACAACGTGTTTAAGGAAATGACGAACATATGGAAACACAAACAGACAAAAAATGAAGGCTCTGAAAACCAGACAGACAGCCAGAAAGACGGTTATTTCTAAATGGTTTCAAAACTCCATGAAATGACATTCCCATAAAGCAAGTCAGAGGTTCAGAAAACAAACCTTCACATCCAGCTCCATTCCAGAAATATTGAGTTTGGCAGGTGCAGTTGAATGACCCCAGAGTGTTTGTGCAATTGGCGCCACCCTTGGAACAATTATTATGTATCAAAGCACACTCGTCGATATCTGAAAATAACAGCAAGACATTGATAAGAGGCCCGGTGGAATGGATAACGCCAAAAGATTACATGAGCTTCTAAACATTTTTTTATTTTCAAATAGCTAATTTCTTCGCTATTTATAATCTAACCTGTACCTGCCATTCAAACTATAAAATAAATGGCACATGAACAAGCATGCAAAAGTTGAAGAAAAGGACTCATACATGGACCTTTTCGTGTTACAACAGGAATGCGGTGCGGCTTTTGTGTAGAATTGCTGATGGATAATAGTCGACACCCACCTGTGCACGTTTGGCCATCTCCTGAAAATCCCTCTTTACATTTGCAGCTGTAGGATCCAACGTTATTTCTACATTCAGCATTTGAATCACATTTGTGTTCTCCCAGACTGCACTCATCAACGTCTTAAAGGAAAAATTTTGAAGTAATTCAATTACCAAGGTTTCGACTTTCTGCCCTGCGCAGACAACTAATAATTCATATCTTACAATGAGTGAGGGTCCGCTATTTTTTATTTTTACCAGGGATTTTCAGAACGTAGACCGTAGACGTAGCGAACCAAAGAGCTAATGAGCAAAAAAATAACGTAGCACGTGCGTTATAAAACTTGTACTTTTCTTAGCTGTCCCATACAAGAAAAAAAAACGTGAAATAACTAACTTTCACGTCCTCCTAGCGGGGAAACCTCCGCAGCAATTTAATCACGTTTTACTTTGAACTCAAGGGAAGATGTCGCACCGTCAGAAACAGTAAACGCGTCGAGTTACTGGCTGGATTGCGTTGCAGCTGGGGTTCACCGAGGTCTCCATTGCGGAAAGCGGCAATGAGGCTATTCCATCGATAGATGTTATCCACCTGTAGCCAACATTCCCCCCACCCCCCTCCCCTGACGTTTCCTCAGGTTTTTCTCACAGTTTACTGCTGGTCCTTCTTTATCCTCGACGCGAAAATAAATGCACGACGAGAGTACTAAAGACTTAAAATAAAACAAACGGTCACCGACTTTCCTAGTCGTTAAGTGACTGCTAACACTTAGATATCTGCCTCACCTTCTGCGCAATCTTCACCCGTGTAACCCGGTACGCAGACACATCTATACCCCTCACTGGAAAAACCAGCCTGGCAGATCGCATTACTCGGGCATGGCTTCTTTATGCAAGCGTTCTTTACAAAGAAGCAAAAAAGGACAAGTTAAGGCTATGTCTACGCAACTTACAACGTAAGTCTACGCAACCCGTGAGGGGAAGAATAAATAACTGTAAATTTATGAAAATCATATCTATGAACTGTGGACCAGCTCCCAGTTGGCTTGTTAGCAAAGTATCGCAAAGGTCATGGGTTCAAATCCCGTACAAGACTGAATTTTTTTCAGGCCTTATTTTCACTACTGCTTGAGTAGTGTTTATTAATGCGAAGATCGCTTTCAAATTCATTTCTTTAACCGCAGTTCACATATATGGTTCCTATACATTTACAGTCAAAATCAAAAAGATGTGAATAAACCAGTAAAAATTTGAATTGTGTCAAAGACATACGGATAGGCCAAAAGAAGAACTCTGCGGTTATCCTAATCATTGCAGCTATAAACACACCTTGGATCCACGATAGATGCTGTTTGGAAATGACATCAGATCACTCGGGTGTTCAAAATGTGTAGCGTTATTCATCTCGCATTTGGTGATCGAGGGAGAATCATTGGATACTAGTATATTATAGCTGATACAGTTGGGTTCTATGAAACACAATGCTCCACAGAAGTCCTTTGCGACGTTGTCAACTTCTTTTATCTTATGGTTAAGCAGCCGTTTTCCTCGAAATGCAAGGGCAGCTCTGAACTCCAGTTGACGACATTGGCCTATAGAGAAGAATGATGAATAATATATTTTCCGATAGGAAGAACATGATACCACTGGTTACAAGCGAATGCTCTATTTGACAAGGACACCGGATTTAGTGGTAAAGGTGAAAAGTAGGGAAGGGATGGAGGTAGAGAAATTGGTAAAGGAAACTGCAATCAACTTAATACAAAGAGTGTACGAATTTAAATCAACGAAAAAAGCATAACATGACGTTTCGATTACATCCTGTTTTCATTGTCAAAATTGAAAGGGATTGGCACAATTGATGTACTATATGTAAATATGTACAGAAATTTTAAGGTACATAAATGATTTCTTTTATGAGAACAAAGCTTGAAAGTGCGCTTTGTATTCATACAAATAATTTCACCAGAATGAGGTCTTGGTAAGTGTTATAAATAAATAACTCTATCAAAAATGATTATGAAAAAATTACGCGCTTCCGATGGCTGAAAACGAGTGCATTCTCATGAAACACGAGTGCAAAGTTATAACGCGGGTCCAAAGTTGTAACACGAGTGCAAATTACAAATAGCGCACTCACGCTTCAAAATTTCGTCTTTCTTGACCTTCTGCGATGTTTTTTCATGTACATTATAGCAAGTAATAACATAATTCCCCCTGCAATTTGGTGTAATAAGTGCTTGTAAATTTTTCAGACTACAAATTGCACTTGCCCTACGGGCTCGTGCAATTTTGTTGTCTTTGAAAAGTATACTCGTGCTTATTTACACTAAAGTGCACTCGAAATCGTGTCGTTCCCTAAACTTAACGCGGGTGGATGGCCCTCCCTAGACTTTATGGTCTTACATGAAATGGTAAAGTTAACCTAGAATCAATCAAAACTACAAGCCATGACTGAATACTACGATATAGAGTAATGTTCTGTAAGGTTAAAGTGTGGTCTTTTCTTTTTTATAAGGAGGATCTGGAATATAAGATAGTCGAGCTTTCTAGGGCACTTCTTTAGATTGTGTTGTATGTACCACTATGCAGTGTGTTGTTTTGGAAGTGACTGCATGTGTAACCTGTATGGTTTCCCAGGAGAGGCTTAAAGTTTCGTTTATGATTTTTCTGTATTGTCTTCTTTTCAAATAAATGTCGAAATTTATCACATTGAAAGATTTTATTGATATGTTTAGGGGGAGAAATTTATAGTTTTGTTATTTTAAGGTGTTTTTGTTCTTGTTTTTATTTTCAGAGACTTAAACAACCAGGATTGCAACAGACATTGGCTTGAAAAAGATTTGTTCCATTTTAGAATTTTCACGTATGTCCTTAAAGCGTCGCCTTTTGTATCTAATGAGTTATGGCTCGTGTTTTCAACCGCTTCGCAGAAGTCACCAAACTTTTGGCATGGGGCTGATTTTAATTAAGGCATAAGTGTACTTTTTGGTAAATAATTGATAGGTGATTTTTCAGTTCTGAACCTGTCAAAGAGGAAAGATGCAAATTTTATTAAAGAATTGACATTTCAAAACACGAAAAGTTAGTATCGAGACAAACAATTTAGGATCTAAGATCTAGGATGTAGATTGGAGAAACATTTTGTGCGCAGCTTTCATGAAAGTCCCAGTGTTTTTCCAAGTTCATTATGTCAGTGCAGAATACAGATAATGATGAAAAAAAGATGAGACAAAACCAAATTCAGTTATTTCTTTCGAGATGATTGTGTTCCTTAAAAATTCCAGTTTCTAAATAACTGGAGGACATTATGTTGTTTAATCGAAACTAATTCCTTACACGTGGATTTGAAGCCATAAAACGTGTAAATTTCTTTCAGAAGGAGCTATCTCTAAATTTAGATTTATGTGTATTCGACGGAAGTTCACGCGATAAAAAGGTTGTGTCGACATTTCGACCGTTTTTACGATTCTACATATTTGCTTTTGATGCCAATCGATAATCATTTTCAAAACGACAGTTAAAGGACTAATTAGATGTTCGGGGGAGGTTTTTTGAAATTTTCTACTTATTTATTTCGTTGCGTAAATATGCCGCTAGGAAAATGGATGATTAAGCTTCACTTTAGCTCACTAAATTTCATAGTCATACTCATGACAGTACCGGCACGCAGGGAGTTTTTTCTGCAGCGTCAAAGCATACTATCAAATGAAAGAGAGTGCAACAGGAATTTGTGCCGAATTTATAGCGTAAACTTCATGATCCTTTCATTCCAACCGCCTGCTTAAAACAGCTTGCGTGAGGTAGATCCAACCTGTCTTTAAAGATTCACATCTCCACATAATAGCTTTATAAACATTTTACTCTCCTATAAGAAGGTAGAACATTTTTAAAAACTTTGGAATTCTTGAAATAGTCACAATAGAACATTCGCAATGAATTATTTTCGCTTATACCCGCTTCAAACGCATTATAAATTAACAGTTTTAAAAACTTTCCCTTATAATAAATAATTAGAATATCTACCCACCTTCTCTACATTTCACAACACACATCAGAGAGTACAGCACAGTGAAGATACCAAGAGACAAGATGCGAGGCATCTTTCCAAACTACTCCTGCAAAATTACCAACATGTAAAATCGTGCACTATGTTATTCGCATGCGAGTAGCTTCTCGCCTGGAGCTACTGAAGACTCAGTGTGATATATCACGGAGACAACTGACGTTGATAAATCTGAGATCTATTTACATCTACGTAAATTAACTTTAGGCATTGCATTAAGTAATTGTTATGGTAGACGTCAGACACCTTATGGAGATATTCTTTCAACGCTACCGTTTTGTTTTGCATTTTAAATGAATTTCATTCTTTAGTTAGCTATTTTATGAGCCCGTTTCTTTGCATGAAGCTTCTAGGAAATTTCCCAAGGAATGAAATAGCAAATTTCTTATAGTTTCGTTTTAGATGCTAGCAACGAGTCAATGTGGGAAATTTGACATGCACAGAAATTTCCTTAGCTTTATTTGCAAATTTCTTCTCAGATGGTGATACCCCGCGTAAACATTTCGCCGTTTATTCAAGACAGAGGCAAAAATAAAGCTGCTAAGAAAAACTATTTTTATCGTGTTGTCAGAGAGACATTTCATTGTGTTGAAGAAAAAAGAAAGAATCAACGGTCGGAAATTTAACTAAGCTGTGTTCAAAAGGGATGATGAAAAAAAAAACAGGAAAGCATATTCGAAAAAAAATGAATTTTGTGAGGAGTCTGACGCGTAGTGGCTTACGAATATTCGTTTTTCATTTTTCTTTTCATTTTTCTATCAAAACAATCAATGAAAGTGCTCCAGTCTCTTTCATGAAAATGCTGTGTTTTTCTTGGCCCAAACATTGACCGACATGAAAACACTTCATTTGCTTCCAGCAGAATATCGACATCATTTTTAATTAATTTTAGTGTTATTTTCAGAATGTCATCATAGACACTTCTGTCTAAGAAGCAAAGACTAAATTCGTACACCTTTTGCGCAATAAATATTCTAGCAGTACCATCATTTTGAAAAATAAATTATAGAAACACATCAGAAATATTTCAAAGCATCATTTGCCTGAAATGACAGATAAACTCTACAATATATGCCAATGTAGCCTTTTAATAATTAATGACAGCAACTCGCCGGTTCTATAATGCCAGTGAAGTATATTGAACAAACATTTTAGCCGCAGGAAATTAATCATGGGTGAAGTGAAAATAATATTTTAAAAATAGTGAGGAAAGATGGAAAAAAAAAACTTTCTTTATTCATTCTTAATTTTTTGGCGGAAAGTTTCGTTGTAAACCGCAATTCGATGCACGTGACCAAATCAGTGAGGATTCGAAGCTAAGTGCACGTAATCCTTTTTTCCTTTTTAGCTTTGAGCTGTCAGTTTAAATATAAGAGGTCCAAGCTTTGCCCTTGGACAACATTAGCAAGGGTTATGAGAGAGTGCGACGAGCAGATGTCTGGAAACTTCGAATGACTCGAAAGCTTTGAACAAATCGAACAGATTTAGGCCTCTTGAAAGCACGGAAAAGATATTAACAAACTGATCAAATTACAGCTTCCGTTTCACCTGTTAACTAAATACGTGCCCTCTTTAGACGGTTTTTGAACTAGTTTTAGAAATATATAACAGTTTCTGAATTCAAATTATGCCGAGAAGAACATTCGGTGTTCCTCTTATAGAACATCAATGCTCTGCTTATTGGATTGATACTGATATCATATGATCCATCGGCCCTGCTCACGCAATCCTGACGTATGCGAGGCCGGAAAGGTTGACGTGAGCCGTTTCGGAAGAAGCCGTCCGGCCTTACACTCGAAAGGCTCTGTTGCAATTTGCTAAAACAAGTATTTGTGGACTTAGGCTTAAAAAAGATAGAAACAAAACAGTTTATCCATTACGTCACACTCGCTTCAATTATGTCACATCAGCTAGAATTGGGTGATTACAAAGTAAAAATGCAGATATTATTTTCGCTTCGCATGGTGAACTCCACCCATAACATGGTATATGGAGCGTTTTCTTCAACAGCCACAGAGGAACTACTTTTATGTACTTACGATAGCAAAATCTGTAACAGATGCCTCAAACGCTATGTAAATATACGAGAATTCTTCAGCAAGTATTTTTTTAACTGTATTTAGTTATTTTAAAATTCTCTTTAAATTCAATAAACAAAAGTCATCGATGCGCGTGCAAAAACTCTCAGGCGCGTTGCCGATAGAGGACTGGCCTATGCCAAGTTTAAAGCTCACAAATTTTCTTACCTAAACATCTCTGGAATTGGTTCAAGTTATGTTCCCGATGGCGTTGAGTGTGGACTTGCTTGTGTCAGCATACCTTCATGCCTCTCCCTTAACCTAGCTGCATTTCATGACATCATTGGTA